AGATACGGTGTAAATAATATTAAGATTAGAATATAATTGTAATCCCAATACTATTTAAATTTATTTACACCTAACCTCCCATCTGCAGATGCAAATGAACCCTTAAATGACCGATTGGCTATTGTCACCGCTGCCAAGTAAAGCTGATGAAGACGTAGCCAGAGCCTGCCACTTCTTGACTGCTTGTGGCAGCGTCATATCAAAGTCGATTCCATAAATGTCATCAGCATCAGGGTCTGATGGTTTCCAAAGCTCGGTGAGAGATGAGAGTACGTTGACGGCGTGACCCATGTCAGGTCTCTGAGATGAAGCCCTTGCGCAGCAGTGTCCAGCCAGCTCAGCAACAGTGCTGACACTGGCAACCGTTTCTTCATCAAGATCAATTGTTGGGTCAATAGCCTTCCGGAATGTGTCCTTCTTGTTATGCATTCTGCGGAACCATGTGACGAGATGAACACTCTCCTCCTTCTGGGTCTGATCTAGTGCCTTTCTTCCTGTAATCAGCTCCATTAGAATCACTCCGAAGCTGTACACATCACTCTTAGTTGTCACTCGTCCTGTCTCTGTACATTAGTCAAACATTAACATTTTAGTAATCAGTAAGATGAATGTTGAAAACCAAAAACAGAGAAAATGATGTGTAAACCCGAACACCCACCCCTGGGGAGTTTTATAGTAATTATAAATCATTATATGGGCACTTTCAATTCAACGAGACATAGTCATCAATTGTATGTGATACAATAATGAAACAAACCACACAATGATCTTACTCCAACAATATGAAGATTTATTGAAAATGTACAAACTACAACAGATGCATCTAGGTTTATTATGAATGAAACCCCAACTTTTGTAAAATTACACAAAAGCCCCAAACTTTCACAAAATTACCAAACCAAGCCCAACATCTCAAAATACTAAAATTTAAAGACAAAACCCATAGAGAGGAGTAGGATATCCCTACCTCAAATTCGGAGTCCCAAAGAAGAAGACAACAAAACCCAACGTGCTCCAAAACCCGAGATTTTCAGATTAAAATGAAGCCCTCGACGATCAACAACTTTTTTGTAAAGGCCAAAGGTGAGTAAATCACTCCTACTTGATCAAAACCTAGAGAGAAGGTAGAGTCTAGAGTGAGAGGCTCAACAATGGTGATTTTGGAAAAGTAAGAGAGAGAAGAGAAAGTGAAAAAGTGATTTGAAGAGTCTCAAATTCGGGACTTTAACCCAGGTCTCCGCTCGAGCGTAAAACACCCCGCTCGAGCGGCCACTCACAAACTTCTGCTCGAGCGGCCATCCTCCCGCTCGAGCGCAGAATGCACTCGCCCAGCACTTTTGCAGAACCAGGCCTCCGCTCGAGCGTCCAATCACACAGATCCGCTCGAGCGGCCAACTCCACGCCACGCTCGAGCGTACTGCACAACAAATACTGGATGGGTGTATTACCCGCTCGAGCGCCAACACCTCCGCTCGAGCGGACAGGCCAAAATCTGGGCAACTAGTTTAGGTTTCTAAACTCAACTAACTTGTAACACACCTGCCCAACACATCCTATAACTCAAATACAAATAAGAAAGGATGTAAACAAGATAATAATCAACTAACAACATTCACGGACACATGTCCGGATCACTGTACAACAGGGGTAAACCCGGGATCGCTATAGTAATGGTTGAGGAAGTAGACAACCTACGAGAGACAAAAGTGATCAAGGAAGTTCATTATTCAAAGTGGATTTCAAACACGGTGGTGGTGCCTAAGAAAAAGGGAAAATGGCATGTTTGCGTGGACTACAAAACGGTCAACAAAGCGTGCCCAAAGGATATCTTTCATTTGCCAAGGATTGATCAGCTTGTGGACCTAACTGCAGGTCACAACAGCCTTAGCTTTCTTGATGCATATCGTGGATACCATTAGATTGCTATGTATGAACTAGACTAGGAGATCACATCCTTTACAACTCCAAGAGGGTTGTACTGTTATAAGGTCATACCCTTTGGCCTAAAAAATGTAAGGGCCATATTTCAATGAATGGTCACTAAGATGTTAGCCCCATTGTTAGGCAAAACAATGGAAGCTTTCATCAATGACATGATGATTAAGAGCAACGATGAGTTAGACCATCTCAACAACCTAGTAGAGATGTTCCAAATTTTGAAGACTTACAAGTTGCGGCTAAATGTGTCCAAGTGTGCATTTGGTGTGATATCAGGCAAATTTCTAGGCTTCTTGGTGACCAACCGTGGCATAGAAGCAAATCCTTCCCAAATCAAGGTCATTCAAGAGCTTGAAAGGCCAAACATAGTTAAGAAGTTTCCGTACTTGACAGGGTTAACCGTTACACTGAATTAGTTCATAAGTCGGTCGTCAGACTGGTGCAGACCATTCTTCTAAGCGCTTAAGGAAAAGTTCAAGTGGGACAAAGAATATGACCAAGCTTTGAAAATCTTGAAGGAATACTTGTCTTCTCTACCACTTTTAGAGATCCCAGTACTTAGAGAAGAGCTATACTTGTACCTTGTAGTCTCCCAGCACGCTGTTAGTGCGGTGTTGGTGCGTGCAGGATGAATACAACACTTGCCCATCTTTTATGTAAGCAAGACAAAGCTAGGCTCCGATACAAGATACTTTCCACTAGAAAAATTGGCCTTAGCTTTAATCATGGCATCAAGGAAGTTACCACACTACTTCCACGAGTACATTGTAGTGGTGTTGATCGTATTTCCTTTAAAGGCCTTTTTCGAAAGGGCAGGCTTTTCTAGAAGGATTCTAAAATAGGCAGTGAAGTTGGGATAATGTAGACACCCCATTTTTGACCGTCCTCAAGACTTGGACGTCACCGTTTGAACGCTCGGTGATCATCCATGATTGTGTTCGTTTGGAGTTCCCGGAGGTCTCGGCTCGCGTGCCTTGCCTCGGGATCCCCGAACTCGACTGTTTAGTGTCTGGTTTTGCACCAAACACTTTTGTTTTGCCTTGGAGGGGCAGGGAATGCCTTGTAAGGCATCCCCACACACCACCGGCAGTGGCTGGAGGCCACCGGCTGGTCTTTCTCTTCCATCGGCACTTTTGTTTGCCGGTCGGCATACTTTATTGCCGGTCGGCATAATATGTTGCCGGTCGGCACTGTTTTTTGCCGGAATAGCATTTTTGGGCAGCCGACCACTGTTCCTCCACTTTATGGAGATATTTTGTGCCAGCTGTGATAGCTGGCACCAACTCCCCCCCCCCCTCCATGTGTATGGAGGGATTTCCCTCTAGCCAAGCTTGTTGAATAAGCTTTGCAAGAGGGAGTCCTATAAGAGAGAGGCTTTCCTCTTGGTTCTAGGTTAGAAAAACAGAAGCAAAAATCAGCCTTTAGAGATATAGATACATATTATCTCTATACCTCTCTCCCTCTCCCTTCTTGTGTGTGTTTCTTGGCCCAAAAGGTGTGTTTTACCTTACTTGTGCACCATTACACACACCATTACTCCTTAGTCCGAGATTGAGGGGCTTGGGGGAGTTGTTTCTTGAGTTTTGGACTGGTTTTGATCCAAAGAAGGAGGTTAGGCCATTTGTTCTTCAAGGGTTCTTCAAGGGTGAGCATCTTCCCTTTTATTCCCCAAACTTGCATTGATTTTCTACCTATTTTGTTTATTGTTTTGGCTCTTGTGTATAACATAAAAAAAGCTCATATTTTCCTGCTCTAACACTTTCATTAAGGTCACTTTGTGGTTAGAGTGCAAACTCATCCTCATAGGCCTTGTTTGGTCTATTTTGGTGCCTCCTTGATAAGGTTTTGCTCACTTCAGCATTTTGATCTTTTCATCACTAAAAATCAGTGTATTTTAGAGTCAAAAAAGTTGGTTTGAAGTCTTGCATAGGGGAGGGACACCCCTCTCCCCTTATGGTTTTGTTTCCTTGCTTTTTGGGCTCAAAAGGATAGCATGTGTGCTTGCTGTTTCTTGGCTTCATTTCAGTACTTTTTTAGGCATCTTAGGTCTTACATAACCTCTGTTTTTGGCCGGATTTGGCCCTCTTGTATGCTTGTGATATTTGCTTTGTATTGCTCCATCTTGCTTAAAAATACATCCCATGATTAGGCCATGATTTTTGTGTGTGTTGGCTTGGTTCCATGAAGCATTTAGCATTGTTTTTCCATGCTTAAAATCTGTTGGTTACCAACTTGGTCATGTTTGGCATATTTGTTATGGTTGCTATGTATTTTGGCTTGTGAGACCTCAAGTATATGAGTCATAAGTGCTTTGGTTGGTCTACTTTGATGAGTGGAGGTTGTTTGCCATGCCATTTTAGTCCAAAAATCATGCCTACATGTGTGCATGCATGGTCTTTTCCATATCTTGAGGTTGTGTCTTCCTATGCCTAAGAATGAGCCTTGGTGTATTTGTTTCATGGGGCTTATTTTAGTTGCCATATTAGGAGTTTTTGGGGTCCTATTTAGGCATCGGAGAGGTTTCCGGCACACACCCGCCGGCTAGCTCACGTTTGTGTTTTCAGGTGATAAAGCGACGTCGTACGGAGAAGCGCGGAC